TGGAAGTTATTTGTAACACATATAACTAACAAAGAATCAGGATCCACAAAATATGAACAACTTTCATGAATTAAGAAAAAAAGACAATTTAATTTTAAAAATGGGCAAACGCCATGAACAAGCATCTTGAGAAGAGAAAACAGGACTGTCAATAAACATATTTTTTGAATGCTCATTGTCATTATTAATCAGAGAAATATACATTAAAACCACAAAGAGATACCATTTAAATCTACCAGTCAGGAAAAACTTAAGTAGTCTGGATACCAAGCGTCCACTAGGATGTGAAACAAAATGTTCACGGTGCAGATGCCTGTGTTCAAATTCTGGCTCTTCCATTTACTAGGAGAATGCCTTGGGCAAGCAATTTAGCCTCTACAGGGCTGTTTACCCAACTGCAAAATGAGGGATAACATTAGTACATACTTTATTGGACTGCTGTGAAGATTAAATAAATTAATACAAAGAAGTGCTTAGAAGAGTCAGTGCCTGACATCATAAGTATACGATAAGCTTAGCTTATCATTCATATTATTAATATCATCATCATCACTATTGGTAGGCATGTAAATTGGTACAGGCACAGAGGGAAGACCTTCTGGCATTACCAAGTAGGATTAAGGATGCATGGTCCCTACAACCCAGCCATTCCACTGGCATATTCCTTGGAGAAACTGTCATTTCAAGAAGAAACATATAATACTAGAAGAACGTTCGTAGAAGCATTATTTGTGTAACAAAACAAATAAGAAAAATGTCTAAAAGAGGAAGAATACATAAATTGTGGCATATTAATATGACATTAACATGTATAATGAAAATAAACTAAGGCTGCATGCATCTCACTAACATAAGACTGGAGGAAAAAGCAGCACACAGAAGCATAGGGAGTACGGTGATGTTTACATAAAGTTCAAAAACAGGAATCGCTAAATAATGTATTGTTTACAATTTTATTCTATATGTAAATATCCCTGAAGAAAAGGAAGAGAGTGATAAATTTAAAAATCGGGATGGTGGTTACCTCTAGGGCAGGAGGAAGGAAGATGTTAATCAAGGGGGAGCACAAAGTCAATAGTATTGGTAATGATTCCCTTTTTAATCTAGATGGTGGGTAAACAGGTTCACTGTGTTATTCTTTAGCAGTTATAAGATTAGTAAGCATTACTTTGTGTATACAAAATAGTTAATAATAAAAAGTTTTAATCTATTTACAAAAATCCAGAAAAAAAAGAACAGCAGTTACTGCTGTAAAATCATTTGAAAAATACCTGTGGTAATATCCATCCAACAGTTCTCCTCTGAACTTACCATAAACAAGGACAAGAGAAATACAAACAGATACATAGTAATATTTTCATAGCTATTTGCTTGGAAGTAGTGAGCTGAACATCTTGGGCAATGCAGCCCAGGAAGTCAGCATAGAGAAAAGAGTTAAGAATAAATCTTGAAGATGTGCCGATGCTAACAGGCAGGTGGAAAAGAAACCAACAAAGAACCCTGTGAGGCTACCAGTTATTTCCTCCTGTTGTTCTTCCAAATTCCTCCATCACACAGTGCCATTCATCCTGATTGTTACTATTTTCCAGGCAAAATGACTTGCTACTTCCTTTTCTGTAACACCTCCTAACTTCTCTCTTTGCCTCCAGTCTCACCCTTCTTCAATCCATTCTACGATGTAAACCCCAACTGTGTTCACATCATCACTTTCTTGGTTAAAACTCTTCCATGGGTCCCCATTGGCTTAAGGATAAAGCAGAGCCCATAATATGTAACTGACAAAGCTACCAATGACTTGGCTCCTACTTACCTTAATTTTGCTCATCACTCCCAACATAGTCTGTTTACAAAGGTTTAATGCAGTGGTTCTCATACTGTGGCCCCTGGACCTACAGCATCATTATTATGTAGGGGAGGAAGACATTTCCTCTTCCCAAATGGGGGTTCGTCTGGCCGGAGAACGAATTAAATTCACATGAGACAGAATAGCAAGAGAAAATTAAACAAAGCTTTATGAGGAACCATCGCCCGGGTCCTTTCTTCCCAAAGGAAGAAAGGGCACCGAAGAAGTGGGGTGCACAGAGTGGTTATATACCCCCAAACAGGGTGTTTCACATGTGATTGAAATGTCCCTCCCACAATAGTCACAAGATTGCCCTGTCTGCACAGTGCTTGATGGACACAGTCTGCTATCTTGGTGGGCGTAGCAGGAGGCAAGTCTATCGTCTGGAGCTGGGCGGTCACAGGTGAGCGCAGCAACCAGTTCCTAGCCTAAGGAAAGATGCTTAATCCTTAAAGAAATACCAACGTTGGGAGGGGGAGGGAAGTGAGTTACGGGAGGTTACCAGACTAGCACAATAAAATGCAGATTTTAAGTCCTTGCCTTTGGTATTGATTAAGAGTTTCTAGAGAGAAGGTCATCTCCTTTCTTCTTCCTGGTACAGAGAGGGAGGCACCTTTTACAGATAGAGACTTACCTTACAAATGTAAGTGTCCTAACAAAGGGCAAGTTCCATTCCTCAGAGCCTCCTTCCCTGTCCCAGTTTATCAAAAGCAATCAGCCTCAAATAATCCTGATGCCAAAGAGATATATCTTGGGGTGGCCAATTTCAGGTCCCCACAGTACCTGGAAACTTATTAGAAATACACACCTTGCCCAGACCTACTAAATCAGAGTAAACTCTGCAGGCAGGTGCGACAATCTGAGTTTCAACAAGTCTTTTAGTTGATTCTGAAGCACATTAAAGTTTGAGCATCACTGGTTTATGAGTATGAATGAGAGGTAAATTACTAACTGAAGAACCCTGATGGGGAAAATAGAAAAGTCCTAGATAGCACTGTGGTTAGAAGCACACACTCTGAGTCACACTACCAGGCTTCAAATTTCTGCTCAGCTTCTTCCTGGCTTTGAAATCACAGGGAAATCACTTAGCTTGCCTCAGCATAGTGCAACGCTTGCTTAACAACACGGATCCCACAGCAAGACTGCTTGGATTTAAATACTGGCTCCACCTCCTATTAGCTGGGTGACCTTGAACAAGTCACTTACTTTCTCTGGGCCTCCGCTGCCTCATTTACAATAGCATAAATAATAGTACCTACTTCATACAGTTGTTGTGAAGATGAAATGCGAAGAAGCTGTGCTTACAACTATACCTGCCACGCAGTAAGCACTATGTGTTATTTATTCTTATCATGTTATTAATTTGACAAGGATCATAGTATATTCTGGAGATAAAAAGAGTCAACACTGAAAGCTACTTCCCATAGAAAATAAATAAAATTAATCTGTTCTGGTAAGGAAAAACTTTGCTCACCTTTTTTAAAGTAAATGACTTTTCTTTTCCAGTATACCATTTACCTCTCTGAAAGAGGTCATTTCCTTCCAACGAGAGAGCACTTAACTGGAAGCAATGACCTCCTCTAAAGAGCCAAGGGTCTGCCTTGAGGGGTCATTTATTTCACATTAATTTTTTTCTTTTTTAAGCAAAGAACTTGCAAGAATTAAAAGGGATTTATTGAACATTATCCCTATGCTAGGAAAAATATTTCTACGGATTATTCTAAGTATATTATTTAGAATACACAAATATATTAATATAAATATATATACAAATATATTCTAAGATATCCAATGTTAATTTAGCTAGAAACTCCACGTGTAAAAGTGCCATTAAGACATCTATGTGCACAGTCATTGAGGAGGACTCTGAAAATATGATGATAGAAAGATTTGGATAGTAGGACTTCGTATCTCTCTCTACTCAGAACTGAGAGGTCATACTATCTCCTCCTGACCAAAACACACGAATGCCTGAGCCACAGCACATTCAATGCAGAGTATATTCTATTGAGCATAAACAAGTGTGACATAACCCATTTTTGAAGACATAATAAATGGATCTAAGTGATGTGAAATTAGGCACTGATATTTTTTCCATCGGTCTCAAAGTGTTTCACTTCATTAGAATATGAAAGAAAATATGAGAGAAAAAATATACTGGAACAAGTCACAAAACCAAAGTCAAAATACAGAACTCATTACAGAGAGTTCAATATTTCTTAGAAACCCAGAGATAATATACCAATTGAACCTGGCTTGGAAATTAGTTTAGTCATCAAATATTTACTGGGGGTGTCTTGAATCCTCTGACCCACAGTCTCTAATAGAAGTATATATGAATCTAGTTTAGAGTAATCTTTATCTGCGATTCTCTTGATTATTCTAGGTTTTAAAAATCAGTTTCCTGCATAAAATCCAATTAAGGGAATGCAAGAAACATTTTCCTAAAAAAGAAAAAAGAACAAGCATTTAATGCTATGGGGGGGGGGTTATGATTTTTATTTGCATGTGATAGCCACACGTTCCACGGTATTTTTTATTTTTTTTTTCTGGAGCCTTAAACCTCAACTATAAGTGCGGTGAAGGAATTTAGGCAGAATCTCTTTTCATAGCTGTCTACTTTAAAATGTAGGTCACTGATCACAAAGAACTTTCAGGCAACTCTGGATTTCAAGGCATCTCCTCGATGCAAGACATTTTATATGGTGGGGGAAGAAAGGTTAGCAAATTAAGATTACTCACTTTTCAAAAGGCATCAATGTGTTATGGAAAGTCAGCCTGAACAGCTCATGTTTCTGTTGATCTAATACTATACAACTTCAATTGCATAGAAAAGGAAGGCAAGAAAGTAAGTTCTATTTCACAACTAAAAACTCACGATGACAAAGAAAACTGCTAATCTAATATTTTTAGAAAACCATGCAGGATGCTTTATTTACAACAAAGGGTAATACACTAACTTTCCTAGATTTCTCAAAAAAAGAAAACCTTGATTCTTCAGAATAAGACTTCACTCAAGATCCTCTAAAATAAGAAAAAAACGTTTTCAACTATAAAATGTATGAGATGGACTATCCCTGTAAGTATTAACCACACAGGTACAGGTAAGGATTGTGGACTTGATGGAGCCCTCTAAGTAAATCATCAGACTATTTACCTGTATCGTCCTCTCAGTGCCATCAATGTTGACAGACAATAAGGGTGAAGCCAGGTTCCACGTGCTGGTCACATTTAGTTTCGACCCATCAACTTCCACCTGTTGTGACACCAAATAAGACTGTTACCACGAAGAAAGACAGAAAACTGATCTCAAGTTCATTGCTGCATACAAAGCAGCAGCCATTTTAAACAGATGGCTCCCAAACAACCTGTCATGTTTACTGCTCCCGCCATGAAAGACAGGGTCCAACAAGAGTCTTCTTAGCCATCTCTGGGGAGAGGTGAAGGACCTGGGCACAGCTGCCTCCGGGTACTGAGGTTTCAAGTGATTTCCAGTAAGTAACAAACAGCCTTCTAACTCTAAACCTATCTGGACATGCTACATTTACTGCAATTAGACAAGTAATGCATATAAATTCCAGTGACATTTTGCAACCCACACAACAGGGCTTGCATATAATATCCTCTCCAAGGACCAAGAAAGAACTTTTTCTGTGTTAATTTTAATGAAGGACTATGCATTGTTATCTTAATTAAACAGAAGCTTTAATTAGGCAAAATTCTTTGATGTTGAATGTTAAAAGTCCATTTGAACTTTGAAAAGTTCTGGCATATTTTTGTTGATCATAAATGACTAATTTCATCAAGTCATCATTTATGAAGATGCAAAAAAAAAACCCCACATAATCTTTTAAAACAGAGATAGTTTAAGAGAAAAATTCTAACTTTAAATAATATAAAACTGAAAAAAATCAAAGCTAATTTAAAATAAAAACTCCCATTAGTAATTTCTTCCTTTTCACTCACTGATGCCCTACTCTTCAATATGAGAGGTAAGAGAAAAGAATGTTATTATTTTAAGTCCACAGTAAGCAACCCAATAAACAGATATTTAAGTTTCAAAATAAACCTATAGCAGAGCGAAGATATATGATCCCTAACAATTCCTTCATTATCACTTCATTCTCTTAAAAGATACTCACTTATTAAAATAAAAGACACATGGACTTACACTGTTGAGAAGCATACGTGTAGATATGGAAGTTTGTCTGAATAGATGTTTATGTATTTATATATTTTCCCTAGAGTGTGGTCATAAAGTCTAGAAACAAAGATATGCTATCGGCTACATAATGAAGTATCAGTAGGACTTATATTATGCACTGGAATGTGTTTCTGACTTCAGTGGCCTCCCTGTACAAACAGTACAGTTCAGTAACTGGGAGGAAAAAACAGTGGCATCGAAATCACACCGCCTTGGGTCTCACTTCTGTTTTGCTAAGTTGGAGTTGTTTACCAAGCTGGAGTGTTTAACCTCTCAGAGCTTCAGTTTCCAAACTATAATACAGTAAAATATCTAACCAAGAGGGTGCTGTAAAGGTTAAACAAGTTAACATTCAAAAGTCTCTACCAATATTCCTGTCATGGTAGGTCCTAAATATTTTCCCCCTTCTCCTGTCTCTAATGGTTTTACTACCCTTAAATGAGTTTTAAAAATAAGGTCAGATAATCATACTATCTCATAAATTATTTACTATTAAAACACTACATGATAAAAATCTGAGCAGCAGAAAGACTGTAGTTTTGATTAAAGCAGCAATAATACATTTTAAAATTATCCTATTTATTCCCTCACCTCCAAATTAAATATTATGCAATGAAAGATTTCCAAAAGAAGCTTTCAATAGATAAGGTTTTACAAATAGTAAGTGCTTTTTAAAACTGAAAACAATATTTGCTTTGAAATGGCTTCTAAATTTAAGAGGTTAAAAAAGTTCAATAATCCATTATAAAAGTTTTGTTTTATTTGTGAAAAAAGAAAGTTAGAGGCTGTAAAGAAAGATTTTGAATGATAATCATTTAAAATTTGTATTTGATATTAATTTCAAATATACAAAGGCTGGCAGAATAAAATTGCAATTGCTATCTTTAGGGCATATGAGAGGGAACTGAGAAAAGAACCTAATCTACTCAAATCATGTTAAAGGAGAAATCAATTTACCACAAACTGAAATAAACCATTTTTAAGGATGCTCAAACAAAATGTGACATATCCATACAATGGAATATTATTTGGTAATAAAAAGGAATGAAATACTGATACACGCTACTACATAGATGAACCTTGAAAATATGTTAACTGAAAGAATCAAGTCACAGAAGACTACAAATTATATAGTTCCATTTATATGAAATGTCCAGAATAGAAAAACCCATAGAGACAGAAAGTAGATTAGCAGCTGCCTTGAGCTGGGGGTAGAGGTATGGGGATGGATGGAGGGACTGAGGGGTGACAACTATGGGGTACAGGTTTTCTTATTTGGCATGACGAAAATGTTCTAAAATTGACTGTGCTTATTGTGCACAGCTCTTTGAATATACTACAAACCACGAATTATACACTCTAAATGAGTAAATTGTATGGTATGCGAATTATATCTCAATAAAGCTATTAAAAAATAAGTAACAGACGCCACCCTGGTAGCGTAGCGGTTAAGTTCACACACTCCACTTTGGCGGCCCGGGGTTCCCCAGTGCAGATCCCGGGTGTGGACCTAGGCACCACTTGTCAAGCCATGCTGTGGTAGGCATCCCACATATAAAGTAGAGGAAGATGGGCACAGATGTTAGCTCAGGGCCAATCTTCCTCAGCAAAAATGATGAGGATTGGTGGTGGATGTTAGCTCAGGGCTAATCTTCCTAAAATAAATAAATAAATAAGTAAGTAACAAATGAAAACAGAGGGGGGAATTTTAATTTTTCAGAAATTGGAAACAGTACTTTTGTGAGAAATTAAAGATGACCCCAAAACAGAGATACCATACCATGCTCATGAATTAGAAGTGTTTTAGAATTATTAAGACATTAATTTCTCTCCCAAATTGATCTATATATTCAATGTAATTCCAATCAATATTTCAGCAGGCGTTTTTTGTTGTTAGAAATTGATAAGCTGATTCTAAAATATATATAGAAAAGCAAAGGATATAGAATAGTGAAGACAATTTTGAATATTAGCAAATTTGGGGAACTCACACCACTTGATTTTAAGACTTCCCATAAAGCTACAGTAATCAAGATACTGGTTAAGAATAGATATATTCATTAATAGAACAAAATTGAGAGTTCAGAGACCCACACATAAACGGTTAATGAATTTTCAAGAAAAGTGCCAAGATATTAAATGAGGAAAGTACAGTTTGTCAACAAATAGCCTTGGAACAACTGAACATTCACATTCAAAAAAATAAACCCTGACCTTTACCCCACATCATAAAATAAAATAAAAATCAACTCAAAACGATTAAAACTAAACATAAAACTAAAAAACTTCTGGAAGAAAACAAGAGAAAATCTTTATGCCCTTGGTCCAGGCAAAGATTTCTAGACACAAAAAATAGAAATCCTACAAGAAAAAGACGATGAGTTGGACTTCATCAAAATGTTAAGAAAAGGAAAGTTGAGCCATGAGTTGGGAGAAAGTATTTGCAAAACACACATCTGATAAACGACTTATATCCAAAATATACAAAGAACTCACAACTCAATAAGAAAAACAACTGAATTTTTTAAAAAGTGGGCAAAAGATTTGATCAGGCACTTCATCAAAGAAGATGGATAATAAGCACATCATTGATCAGTCATTAGGAAAAGGCAAATTAAAATTATAATGAAATAGCACTACACAGTCACTAGAATGTCTAAAATGAAAAAGAGTGATGATAATAAGCGCTGTCAAACATGTAGAGCAATCAGAACTTTCATACATTGCTGGTAGGAATGCAAAATGGTAAACCCACTTTAGAAAATCCCACAGCAGTGAAAAGATATGTATACACAAAGATTGTTCATGAATATTCACAGAAACTTGTTTATGATAGCAGAATATATATAGCAGAATGTTTACATTACCCTCAAACTGGAAAAACCCCAAAAGTCCTGTGAACTGATTAAAGGATAAACAAATATGGCATATCCACACAATGGAAAGGTAATTAGCAATAAGCATCTCAAAAGCATTATGCTAAATGAAAGAAGGCTGACACAAAAGAGTATATACTATATGATTCTACTTATATGTAATTCTGGAAAAGGCAGAAATCAAATCAGTGGTTGCTAGGGGCTAATGGTACAAGGACGACTTTGACTAGGAAGGAGCATGAGAGAACATTTTGGGGTGATGGAAATATTCTAAGTCTTGATTTTGGTGGTGATTATACAACTATATATATATTTCAAAACCCAAACCAACCGTACCATTAAAAAGAGTAAATTTTACATAAATTTACATAAATTATACCCCAATAAATCTGACTTCTAAAAAATGAAAACAGAGGGAGAAAAATCTACCTCTTCAAAAACTGAAGGGAGTAGTTTTAAACTACCTTGATTTATCTTCCCTTCCTGATAAACTCATTTCTTTCCCTGCATCCTCTGCTATTGGATGAGTGGATGTGAACGTTAACTTGGCAAGAAGAATGGAAGGAAAGTTCCTTCCAGACGGAAACATGAAAATAAAAAAAGGCCCTTTCAGGTCCCTGTGGATTACATGAAGAAAAGGTACAGAGGGAAGATGAAGATATCAGATATTAGAGTCCTCCCTATTTCCTTTTCTGCATGGAACCTTGGGAACAGGTAGGAGAGTGGCAGTGGAGAAAGATGGGTGAAAACATTCTGACAGGTATCAGGTACCCTAAAAATATCTGGGCTGGAGGTCTGCTTCTGAGATACAGTCTGGAGGAGGCTACAGGCTTCTAGTAAAGCCCAGTACTCAGTTTCACAGCATTCCTAACATGGTATGGGAGTAACAGCATATCATGGATGGAGGAAGAGACTGGACAGATGATCCAAGTACATCATGGTAGGAATCCAGAAGTTTCTACCTGTCCTACTCAGATGACTAGAGAAGGTCTGGGTCAGAACGAAGCCCATATGGTACAGGAGACTACATGACTGTAGGCAAATAGTAATCAGGACTATAGGCAGCAGGAGCCTCTTCAATGGCTTCCATGCCAAATAGGATGAACCATTACTCAACAGTCACCAGTCTGGGTCCTTGCAACAAAGTCTTGTAAGGACAGTGTGGATCCGAGTTAT